CCCCAAAACCCCAAAACCCCAAAACCCCAAAACCCCGAGGCAGAATTATGATATAGAAACTGAATTTAGAGTACTATGAAAAATATATATTTTAAGGTGAATTTTGAAGTTAAAAGTATTTTATACGGCTTGCTTTTAAATTACAAAAACTTTAACTCAGAGTAAAATATGTCAGAAATACTTTCTTCTAGTGTTAAACTACTATTATATCTATGAATCCTCCCTCTTACCCAACTGTTAATCGCTGCTTTTTAGAAGATGCCAATTTCCTTTTGAAATATCTAAAAATTGCTCTTATTGAGATTATTGGTCATCTTATACGGCAATTGATAAACTGGAGATGCAAAAGCGATCTGCTTGGCCTTCTTCTGCAACAAACTTAGCACGCTAGACTCTGGAGGCTGTGAGCCTATTGATCCATGCTTGCATCCATGCTTGCATCCATGCCTAAAGATAAGAATAATCATACATTTTTGATTTCTTGATCTTCTCTGCGGTTTCAGACTTGAGAGCACTGGACAACATTCTCTTAAAACTCTTCTTTATCCTCATATATCGAGGATCTTTGATTGGCTTTGGGAAATTAGAGACTTCCTTCTGAGGAGTGTCAAATGTTGGCGATAATGAAGTCTCTAGCTTTACAGAGTCAATCATGATTGGGGCCTTCTTCCCATGAAACACTGAAGCGTTCTTGTAATGGAGGAAACTCAAGTCCTTGTGGTTTCTATATGGTAAATCTCAATTATACGTGGAGTATTTCACTTCACTTCTCTTTTTGTTTCCCAGATTTGGGAGCTTTAAGCCTTCCAAAATATTGTTCTTAAAGGGAGAATTGGGCTTGAACGGCTCTAAATGTCAGTATGCATGACTACGATTGAAATTGCTATCTCTCTTCCTCCTAGTGTTTTCAAGTGACTTGTTGGTTTTATGCTTTCTGCTTTGTTTCAGAGTAGTCATTTCGAGCTTATTGATTCTTTCAGTTCTATCCATCCCAAAAAGCTTCTTCTTGCCCTTCCTAACCTGTGGAGTGATGAGCACAGGCACTATTGAAGATAATCCTTGTGCTAACTTTAGAGGAGAGACATCCCTGCTTTGGACTACTTTGTCTTGATACTTCTGAGGAGTCTCTAATGCATCATCTTCATGGTTAGCTAGCTTATTAAGGTCACAAAACTTTATGAATTCAGAAGTGATCAGGCTTGCACTCAGATCATTTCTAGAAGCGTTGGTGACTCTATGAGTCTTTCTATTTTTCCTTTTATAAGGAGTGATCTCCTCAACATTGATGATCTTTGTATGCGCCACCTGGCTATTCCTGGTTGGCTTAAATACTGGAGATAGGTCAGACATGTTGCTCTTTTGGCTTTGGAGGATATTGACTTTCGGAGTGGTAATATGCACCTCGCCTAGCCTCGAGCTCTTCAATACCTCTTTCTCTACTCTTGACTTCGATGGAGATCTACTTGAGTTCTTGTCTGCTCTTTTAAACTGTGAAAATTTGTTTTCTTCGATTGTTATTTCTATAAAATTATGAGAAGAGTCTCAAAAATGTTAGATGAGAAGGATTGAAAACAAGCAAAGGCGAGATTTACCTTTTGAGTCACTTTTGACTCTCGCTTTATGATGATATTTTTGTGTATTCCTTTTAGAAATCTTCACTCAAAGCTGTGTCAGCTTTTTCTTTCCCTTTTCAGCAGTCAAGGCAAATGGTTTACTTTGAGAATTAGTGTCAATTTCGCTCTGAATTTTATTAGCTTTCCTCAGAGATTTCAAAGACTGCTGCTTTGTAAAATGAAGTTCAAGATCTTTAGTCTCAATGATTTTAGGAGACTTGTCTCTTCGAGTTGACTCTTGGCTGTTCCTCCTTGCTTTCTCAGGAGTAACAGCAGAGGCATTGACCAAGTCAAGATATGTCATTCCCTTCTTTGGCTTTGATGGTGGGGCAATTTCATGGATTTCTGAGGGAGTATCTTCCATATCTTGGTGTAATTGAGAAGACTTATTTAGAGAAATTTGACCTGATAACTTGCCTATTAATGCTCCTAAGCAGCAGCTCATTCTAAAAGTTATAACAGGTTAGTACCAGTGAGGTATTATTGTCCTTATTTATTAAACTCTTCATTTAGCTTTATCAGCAATCTAAATTTTAGAAAATAAATTTACTGTTCTAATGCTAGATTGATCCTTTCCTCCATTAAGGCTAGCTTCTGTTTGATATTTTTCTTGACAGATGTATTGCCTTGAAACAGCGTTGTAAAGTCTTCCTTACTGATTTGGTAGACTTGGGCATCATTTGAGAGACATTTTAAGTTGACAATACTGTAAGGACAGCCAATGATAGACTCAACCATCCCAAAGATTTCGAATTTTTCAAAGGAGAGAAGCCTACTATTCACTTTGTAGTATCCCTTGGTTGACTTTTTAAACTCCTTATAGTCAAGCTCCTGGTTATGTGAAACATTCTCAAGCTTAGGATTGAAGGTCTTGGCGTCACTCTTAGTTGACAAGTACTTAGTATAAGTAATGTTATCCATGTCCATCTTCCTCTTCGCTTTAGATTCATTTTTCTTATAATAAATCGTCTTAGTAATTTCAAATTGCCCATTAGTAATGAAGTAGATATTCTGAATGGGGTCTCCTTCTTTAAGAATAGTTGAGCTAAATTTTGTAGGACAGTCCTTGAGGAGTGTACACACCTTTTCCTTTGTAGACTCCCTAAGTTGCTTAAAAACCATAAAATTATCCATCAAGTCGACTTGTCTTACAAGTTTGCTCTTGTAAAACCTACCCATGATGGAACTGAAATCTTTCTTTTCCAGTATGGCAAATATGGAATCTGTTAAGGTGGTAATGGTAGCAGTTCGAGGGACTTTATGCAGCAAAGCCACCTCCCCAAACCCTGCGCCTTCACCTAATTCAGCGACTCTGGTTAATGTTCTGAAACCGAAAGGACGTGTGGGTTCTTCTTCCTCCTCAATTATATTGCTCTTGCGCTTTCTTGAGGGAGACCCAATGGCTTTACCAAGTGCTGGAAATTTTTGTCTTCCCCTTCTCTAGTCGATGAATCATGTTTTTCAAACTTTTTCTCCAGATAATTATAATTCAGGCTAACTTGTCCCTTCTGGCTTATCTTTACTGAATCGGGGTAATAAGTTTTCAGCATAGCCAAAGCAGCCTCGTATTCTTCATCCTTTATAAGATATTTAAAGTTCTGATAGAGATAGCGGATTAGCTGAGTCAGCGTGTACATTTTGGATTCGACTACAGATGGAACCCTCACTGACACTCTTCCTTTCAGAATAATATAAAAAGTGTCTCCATACTCTCCATATTCGACAATAGGAATATTCTTGGGTATAACGTACTTGTCTTGGTCCATACTCTTGGATGATCAGAATGATGCGAGAGTTGATAGCTATAAGTAAATGAAAGACATAAGTAAAGTTATTGGGAAAAAGCAAAGATTTTGGTATGTTGGCAGTCCCAAAGCTGGGTACAAATCCCAGAAAGGTTAAGAGGAATAGGATTCTCCCTTCATTTTGATATTAGACAAGACAGTCTCTATACCTTGATTTTATTTAAAGATCATCTCAAGTATTTTATGCCCATTTTCTTTTTCTAACTTTGAAAAGAAGTTATTCTTGCTAAAGGAGTTATTAGAGAAATTTACTTGTTCTCAAAGAAGTCAGAGAGCTGGGCTATCTGACTCTTTGAACGATTGTTCGGATCTGCAGCGAGGATTGAGATGTTGTCTTCTAAGGTTCCTAATAGTGTTATAAAAATCTTTTAATATTAGTAACAAAACAATCAACCGCCAAATCATTCTTATTTCCTCAATTTACTTTAAAAATCCTAAATTTCACATCCAAACCACTAAACCCAAAATTCAACTCAAACTAATCAAAATCCTGATCTCCAAAAACCCAACAGCTTTCCAGCCTCCAATACCACCACCCTACCACTCGCCCACCCTCTACTCTATCTCTAAACCTCCCTAAATACCATCTTAAACCCTCAAAACCCTCTTTCTTATAATCTACCTCCTTTCTCTTCACAATTAGATGCTAGAGGGTCCCAATTTGAAGACTCAATCCTGTCTAATATATCCATTTTTATATTTCTATAATAAGTTCATGGTCTGGGGTTTTGGGGTTTTGGGGTTTTGGGGTTTTGGGG